AAGAGTTAAACATGATTCTTCCTCTCTATAATGAACTGCCTTCTATGGAAACAAAATTGTTGTTGAAGAAAAGTTATTTTTGTAGAAATTAATAAAAACAGAAGGAATGTTGAATTAGAAACCACCATTTTACAGTCCCTATTGACAAATTTGATCTAGGCAACAATCACATTAAGCATCATTAAGGTGAAAGGTTGTGGAATAAGTGTTTTAAAGGTGAGATCTATCTTAGCATCACTAGAAGTGGGACAACCAGACAAGACATTATATGTAATAGGAATCACACATCAAGAATTCTTGCCTAAAACATTGAACTTTGCATCTAATAAAGTCTCTATAAATTCAGAAGAAGGAACATCCTATAGGCAGACGACCCTGTTTCTTTAAAAAATCGGCAGCATGAAAAAAATTGAGTAGATGGGTGGGTAATTTTTAAGGAAAAAAAAGAGACTTTAAAAACTTAAAAACCAAACAGTGTTAAATTCTTTTGGATCCTGATTCAAACACATTAATTCTAAAAAGACATTTTTGAAACAGTTGTGAAAATTTGAACATAGACTGTTATTAAATAGTATTAGGGAATTATTATTATTTTTAGGTGTACTAATAAGAAGATGGTTGTACATATAAAATGTTATCATTAGAGATATATACAGATGAAGGTATGTGATATCTGAAATTTCCTCCAAAATAAATAAGTTGAACAAGACTGGCAAAATATTGATAATTGTTAAAGCTGGGAGATAGGTACATAGGGTTTCATTTTAATCGTCTATCTGATTTTGTTAGGTGGGAAATTTTCTAATACAAAGTTCTGAAATGACGAATAAAGATATGAAAGAAGGACATACCATAGTTCTTCAAATGCCCACTCAATAGCACTCTTACTGCTACACCATCCTACGGTCACTCAAGATCACAATTTGCCTAAGAATAGTTTCAGAATTACTGGATTGAATAATGAGCAAAAGTAACCAAGGCACTTTAAATCACCTTCACAATCACTTTCATCTTCTCCGGTAATGCAGTCCACCTCACCATTGCATCTATACTTGTTTGGAATACAAACACCCGATTTACAAAGGAAACTGTCGCCTCGGCACCCTGTGCAAACATAAATAAATAGAAGAGGTTTTGTTCTTTTTTTCATGCTTGAAGTTGAATGAGATGGAATCTTAAATTCAATGACAAAGTCGTTTCTATGTTTTTAGTCACAAGAATGCCTTCAGAGGTGTAAAGGCCAGAGTTATCTCTACCTTTGCAGCACAGCTCATCACTTTGGTCTACGCAGTGATTGATCCCATCACAGGCTTTCTCTTGAGGAATGTATTTCCCATTCACACACTGAAAGGAGTCCTTTGTTGGAGAAACTGTAAAGTAAGAATTATCTTTGTGGAATTTATTTATAGAGTTGTGGGTGATATCTTAATCATATTTTTTGGAATAATGGGGACATTAAGATAAAGTCGGGCATCAAATAGAAATTGATATAAAATATATTGGTAGCCATCAACCTAGTATAAACTACTAATAAGGAAAATAAATGCCCAAATTGGCTTATGGAGGTCCTTTCATTATCTCTGAAAGTGTCTTCATTTGTGGAGGCCTGTACTTGCTGAGCTTGGAGGTGAGGGTTCAGGAATTAGAAGCCCTTGCTGACACTGGTAAACACTGGTACTTATCCGTTCTTTTCATGCTACTGCATTAATCCCACCCCCACCCCCACTTAGACTTACTTGGGCAGTGCCATTTCTATTTTGATGGTACATTTTTTAGCACCATGAAAGGCGTTGGCCTTTAACAACATATACATGGCTAAAATATTCCAATGTCAGGATGAAGGATAAAAGTGACTGCCTGGAAGCTGAGACACGGATGTGACCACATAAATATTTTAAAGGAATATGTGTAGGCTGGATGTCTCAAAGGAGATACTGAGGTTTCTTCTGATGTTTGATTCACATATGTTCGCTAAATTTAATCCAGATGTTCAAGCAAGCGAAGGGGAGTCAAGCAACTTTGCTTCCCATATAGGAACCTGGATAGAAATACTATTTGAATGGCAAAAAGGCACAATAAGGGAAAAACACAATTTAGGCTCTAAGCCCCAAAATATGATTTTGCCTCTGTGACTGGCAACTGGGTATCTGTCATTTGTTTGTTTACTACAGACCTGGTATAAAATAAATAACCTCGAAGGAAGGGAAAATATCAGGCAAGTACTCTACCAACCTGCATTCTGGGTGTAACACACCACTCTAGCTAAACCCTGATAACTTTCAGTTCTTCTCTTAGTAAAAGTACATTCAGTCAAACTGGTCTCTGATCCTCGACAATGCACATGCAAACAATCAGTGTCATTCATATGGTGATCTTCAGGAAAGTGAAACTCTCCTTGAGTATCAAGAGCACCTCTGCCAATAAAATAAATGAAACATTAGGGTAGAATAATTAGTACTTTGCATTTATAACCTTACTATAGATGTAAAGGAATAGAGCTAATTTCCTCTTATTAGATAGGACAAAATGCTTAAATAAATTCTCTGAGCCTCAGTAACTTCACCTGTAAAAGGAAATATAACTATCTCACCAAGTTTTCTAAAGATTAACTATAACAATCAGTTTAAACTGTCTAGCCGAAGTTCTATACGAGGCAAGCACTCAGCAAATGCTGGTTTCCTTTCCTCTCTTTCTTAAGGAGGATTGCTTCTTTTTCCTCGCTCCTGATGTTTCCTTCCAACTTGAGATGTGTCAGCCTCTCTCCATCTCCTCTTTTCTCCACGAAAGGGAATGGACTAATTTGATCAGGGAATTTTGGAAATATACATCAGGCAAGGTCAACCCAGTTTTCCCATCTTTTGAGGGAGGGACACCTCTCCACCTGCCCCATGCTGTAAGGCTTACCAGGTTGGCCCTATTGTTGCCTAGGATTTGGGAGGTTAAGTTGGTTTAATTCTAGCAGGTCCATTTTGCTTCTACACTAAGCTACATCCTCAGTTCATCCCTGCCAGTATTACATGATATTTTGCTATCCACGAACCATTGCTTAGACTTCTCAATTCGTTCAAAATTTGTGTGGGCAACAGGTTACCTCAAAGACCCAATATCCTGGAGTTATTGTGAATTACTCTTTCAGGACATTAAATTGTCCCTTGCTTCTCTTTAGAAGCAAATGAGAAAAACGGGTTAAAAATAAAAAGTTGAGCAAAGATACATCAGGGAAATATAAACAAAAATAAAGCAGTAATAGCAATATTAATATCAGATAAATTAGAATGAAAGGCAAAAAGAGAACAATTAAAGAGAACAAGAAGGATATTTTTAAATGATTTCAGATCATAATGAGGACATAGTAGTCATGAAACCCTGCCAAACAACACCAACATATGAGAGCGAATGAGAGCATTTGGGGCAATCTGACAGATGAATAATCTGAAAAACTTCTCAACCTAAAACTACCTAAAATTCCTAGATAAACTATAACAAATGCCCACAATGAACTCTTAAAGAATTTGGGGAATTATTCACTGGCTCAAATCAGAGAATTCTGTCCATGAGCCTATGCAAAATATGATAAGAACAAAATACTGAGAGATTAAAAACTGAGATAGTTTGCCATTAGGTTGAATCATAGATTGTAGGTCACATAGTGTTGAAAATCATAAATACTCTGTGGCTCTATTTAATGATGAGACTCTCATTAATGAACTACTAGCAGATATAATTTAAGAAGAAAAAAATCGAATCCAGAATTATGGAGTGAGATGCAAGAAATAGCAAAATCCAAGAAGTTGGTAAAAACCAAGCAACTCTGAGTAAGCATTAACTGAACAACAGTAATAATAATTGCTTATAATATAATATCAATGAATTTCAAGGACATATTAAAATAAGGTAGAACTAAATACTGGAAACTTAAATAGGGTCACGATATTCTTTGTATTATTCCTGAAGAGGGTGAGGACTTGCTAAGTCAAGGATTCATGGTGTAAATGTGAAGATAACCACTAAAGGAATTGAAATAGAATATGTAATTTTGAAACCACATAAAGGAGGAAAATGGGGAAGATCAAAACAACAATGACAACAGCACAACAACAACAACTTTATTAACCTAATAGAAGTTAGAAAAGGAAGAAACATGAGCATAGAAAAAGCAGGGTAAATAATAAGCTCAAAATAAGATAGGAAAAATAATTCAGCAATGAAAATAATCGCAATCATGTAAGTGGACTACGCTCGTCAGACAGTGATTGTCATGTTGGATTTTTTTAAAATCTAGATATATGCTGTTTATAAGGGACACACTTAAAAGATAAAGACACAGAAAGCTTGTAAGTAAATAAATGGGAAAAGATTTGAACAAGGCGGTTAATCAGCTTGCTTATTCTAATGAATATCTATTATATAGAACCCTGCACATTAAGCATTTAAAATATACTCAGTATGAAGCAAGTCTCAACAGATTTAAACAATTGTCATATAGAGACATTCTCTGACTATATACAATTAAATAGAAAATCAATAACAAAAAGTTAATCAAAAGCAAACATATTCATTAGGAAGGAAAAAATTTCTAAATTATAAAGAAGAAATTATATTGAAAATTAGACATATTTTGCACACAACAATAAATAAAATACCACTTATAGAGGCTTATGGCACGCAGATGAAGCACTAGCTAGGGGGAAATTTGTACCTTAAATGTTTACATTAGAAAAAAAAAAATTGAAACTTGATGAGTTAAGCATTTAACTCAAGGAATTAGAAGAAATACAACAGAGAAAAGGAGGGAGAGCCGAAGATAATAGCATAAGTTAATGAAGTTGAAAATAAATAAGAGACAATTTACAAATATAAAAATCAAAAGCACTAATTCGATAGACAAATCTATGTAAAGCTGATCAGAAAAAAAGAAAGAAGGCATAAATAAATAATATTAGGTATGAAAAAGTAGACATAATTATAGATGAGTAGAAACAGACAGTAATGAACATATTTCCAGCTCTGAATCAGCAAAGAATTCGTATCTACGCATTTTAACACTCAGTTGCCTGCTGCCCAGCACTGTGCTAGCGCTAGTCAAACAAGAGCACATTTAATCCTCATAACAATGTTATGAGACAAGATTCTCAGGTTGCATATGAGGAAATCAAGGCACAGAAAGATTAGGTAGTCAAAAAACAAATAGTTGGAACAATAAAATCGATCTTAGGAAAATCCCCTGGTACAGGCACTCACTGTTGAAATCCAAGGTCAAGGCAGGCCACGTTGGCCTGTGTCATGCTCCAGTTGTTATCACATATGAACATTTTCTTATCTTGGTCTGCAAGTTTTACTTCAACAATTCCCTCTGAATCGTTATTTCCATACTTCAAGGAAACATAAAATTGACCTAAAATAAAACCAAAAGAATGAGCAATAATTAGGCATTCTCTTCTCTTGATTAAAAGCCTTTAAAATAATAAAATAGATAATTTTATTAAAAAAAATTTTTTTCCCCTCTTTAATTAACCCCCCTTCTTACCCACTGCCCGCCCCTTCCACCCCTGACCTATGGATGTTGCTGTCTCCCTTGCCCCTTTCACCCCTGACCTATGGATGTTGCTGTCTCCCTTTTTTTTAGAACTGGATCTCTGAAGGCGAGACGAGATATCTCTCCTCTGAGGGGCTCGAAGCACATGCCCTGAGCCTGGCCTGTGCTGTGAGCCCAGGACCTTTTGTGTGTAAAGCAGACATGCTAACCACTACACTATGGAGCCAACCCTGAAATAGACAATCTTAAATTAACTTTGAACTCCATGAAGATTTTAACAAGTAATGATAAGTGATTACTTTATTATTTATTATGTGTCAGTATTATTTATTATGTGTCAGTATCTGGATATACTATCCAGATATATAGATTATCAAAAAATTTTTACATCAACACCATGAAGATTAAGCTGATGTCCCCATTTTTACACATGAGGAACCCAAATTCCTCCATGTTTATACATGAGGTTAAGTTACTCGCTCACGTGATGAAGCCAGGGACCTGAATCTGCTATACCGATCTCACTCCAAAGTCCATGCCCTTAAAAGTGAATAAGCCAAACAAATAATGAAAATGTGAGACAGATTTGTGTATTTTCATATATTTAAGGTCCTCGATGCCTCAAGAGAACAAAAGTCTAACATTGACAAAATAACCTCCACTATTGCTTTCCTCCTCTCCAGCAGGCGACAGATATGGGCTCCAAGAGGGAGCTTTCTTTCTGTTTTTCCGTAGTACCTCAACGTCTTAACTCAGCGCCACAAAAATATTTAGGTTACTGTGAGCTAGTGTATATCACAGTGTCTTAAAAAAGAATGTTTTAAGTATTCCTCTGTAAATTCATCGAGTGCCTCTGATAACCGATATCAGAAGACAAGCCTGAGATTTGCTGTCATAGCTAAAATTTCACAAGTACTTTCTTTGTGCCCAAACAGATATCATTTTATTTAGTTTCCATCAGAATCTTCTGAGTTAGGAATTAGTATGATTCACATCTTACAAATGTGGAAACTGGACTTTAGAAAGTGCACATAGCTCGTCAGTAACCAAGATGGGACTTGGAAGGGGCTTGCGGGCTTGCAATTAAATTTGACTGACAGTGAAATCCCTAATCTAAACCACTCCACTAAAACACATATTAGCATCCCAGCCTCTTCACTACATTAGGCTTACAAATGGAGTGTAGACAACCTCTCTGATCCGATGCACCAAGTTTGGTAGGTTGGAGTATGTCCTAGGTCAACAGTAGCCTGAGCTTCCCTTGGATCAGGGTCAGTGGGATCGGGGCTAGGGAGAAAGGTAGGGGCTGGTAGGATGAATGCTAGAATAAATTATTGGGGCTGAAGGTCCAGAGAGGGGCTCCATGTCAGAACCAATTTCATATAAAGACTTTTTTGCTAGATTCTATACCAACTCAATGACTCTTTAGCTAAGTATAAGTGAGGGTGGGGACAAATCTGAAAGGCTGGGTGGCAAAGCATGGCACGGACACTGAAGGGAGGACTGGCCTCGGGCTCTGGATCCAAGGTCTGGCTACAGTCTGGTGAACCCTGATTTCTCTAGTTATCACCCCAGTTACTACTGAGAGTCTAGAGAAGAATTTCGATTCGTCATCGTAACATTTCATAGGAAAAGTATTTTCTAATAGAAAGTACGGTAGACAATTTCCTTCTTATGCCATAGAATAAACAAGGATTTTTCTACCTGAAGGTGTACATGCTCCAATATTTAAAAACTTTGCCTTTGGTTGAATACATTCCAAACTCTTTTGCTGACAGTAAGTCGGGTAGCTTTTCCCGTTGGTTGAACACACTGTTGTCCCATTCTTTGGGCACTGATAAGGGAGTTTACAAATGCATTTTCCTTCGATGCATTTCTGCCATGGCTGGCAGAAGACTTTATGGCAGGAGAGATGTGTGTATTTTTCGGTTAAGCACTGTTTCTCCACCAGATCCTCATGAGATGTGTCTGATGTTGACGTGACCTATGAAACACAAAATAAACATTAACTTAGCAACAAAGTAAAATCTTCTTTTTTAAGATGAATAGGTGAAGGAGAGGAACAAATCAGGCTCACCTACCCCCCCAGTACAGATGAGGGGGATGTGATCTGCTTATTTTTAGAATTAGATAAACCTGGCTTCTAGTCCCAGCTTGAGCATTTACAGTTACATGGTCTTGGGCAAGTTACTTACCCTCATGATGTTTGTTTCTTTACCTGTAAAGTGGGGATAATATATTCTGTTTTGCAAAGTTATTGCAAAGATTAGAAGCATATAATGCTTGGCAGGTACCGGGTATGAAATCAATGGCAGCTATTACTATCCTGAAGCCAGCCAAAAATTCTTCCTTTGAAGAAATCAATCAGTCATGTTAAGGAGAAACAAACTGGGTGCCAAATATAGTCTTGTGGAATGAACCGATGCTTGAAATTGATTAATTCTATTAATAAATGTAAAACTCTTTGTTAAACTCCTATTGTGTGCAAAGTCCTGCTAAGATGAACATGACATGGGCTCTGTCTTCTAAGGGCGCCAAGACAGAAATGCACATGATAACTGGGGTACCAGGAAGACTGTGGTTAGTGATATAACAGTGGTACAAATATGACGCAGTGCTCTTGGAGAGCCAGAATGGAAGAGGGTAAGTATTTCAAGGGCGATTTAAAAATGCCTCGTGGAGGTGGTAGCATTTGAGCAAGGGGTGGAAGGACAGATGTGAGCAGAGGGCTGGTGCTAGTAAAACCCAGGAGGGATGGTGCAGACTGCATTCAGGGAGTCATGAGCGGTCCCAGCTGACTGGCATGCAGGGAGTACATGAGCTTCAAATGGGATCGTCTTTGGTCAGGAAACTAGGCAGAAAGAGGCAGCGGAAGTGAAGTGTGAGAATGATGTGGAAAGACAATTACGCAAGCAAAAGCAACAGGAATGGACAATTTATTCCATGTAGGGGTTGAGGGTGGGTCCTAGGTTTTGAGGTTGAGTGATGGTAAGGATATATAATGCCATTAATCAAAATAGATAGTAAGTTAGAGTAGAGCATTATGAATTTCGTTTGAGACCTGCTGAGTCTGAGGTCCCTGAAGGACATGCACTTGGAGATATTATGTAGGGTGTTATGTAGGAAAGGGAAATGTGTGTATGTGAAGCTTGGAAGACAGATCATTAACTCATTTATCAATTAATGCAATGAACAAATTAGTAAGCACTAGTCTGTGCCAGGGAGCGACTTCAGGCTAGGACCAGAGGAGTAAAAGTCCCTGTCCTAATGAGCACACCGACCTGAAGGGAGACAGGCAAGTCTGACTGATGATTCTCTGGTAAGCCTGGGCCAGCATGCCATGAGGACAGTGTTCTATGCCTCTGGCTGACTAGGAGACTTGGGAACATTTCCAGGAAAAGCTGATGTCTGGACTGAACTCTGAGGGCACTGAGGAGGCAGCAGGCAGATGAGTGGTAGGTAGGCACTCCAGGCAGGGCTGTGAGAAAGAGAATAGCTTGCTTGAGGTTGGATGATAGAGTGAGATGGTAGTGAGGCAGATAAGGGAGCAGGTCCTGAGGGAGCCACTGAGGGACTTGAAGCATGGAAGTAAATTTGAATTGAGGAAGATCTTTCTGGAGATCGAATCAGAGAGGAAGGAGGCCAATTAGACTTGCAAAGATCCAGAGAAATACAATGCGGTCTGGGAACAGGCTAACTGGGTCATAAGTCGGTTGTGGAAAGCCAGCTCTCTCTTTCTCTCTCCCTCCCCCCGCCCCCTCTGGTGAATGGGCATTCTGTTCTCTAGTTTCCTCATCTCCTAGCAATGATAGGCCCCCTGTCTTCTCATTTCCTCCAGCTGCGGTAACAGCAAGCTAGGGAAGAAACAAATCAAGCAATCTTTAAATGCCGTTATGAAGACAAATAAAAACCAGTCAATTTAAAGCCGTGCAAAAATTTGCAAAAGGGGTGAATGTCATTCTATCCAATGTGCTTTTCAAAAAACTTTATTAAATAGCCATAGAAATAAGAAAATTGGACACATTGGTCATTTGCCACACTGGCTTTTGACACACTGATTTAGAATGAAATCTACCAGTTACATACTTTTCATGGTTTCATATACTACTTACTGGAGTTGAAATTTTTTATAATTACTTCGCTCCTATATCTTCCACTGACAAGACTGTAAATACCCTGACAGCAGAGACCGTCACCCTTTTACATATCACCCTTCTATTGAAAGAGCATTATTTCAATTAGGCGCAAGGAGAAAACAACTTGATTCTTTCCCTTCTTTATCCCTTAAATCTTTTCTGAGAAATATGGGCAAGTGTCATAACTTTCAGTCACTCTTAGATTAGAGGAAAAACAAAAAATTAAAAGACTTTTAGTTTCTAGGACAGTCTCATAATAATTGCAATGTCCAGCTCTGGGCAATCATTGAAACTTTAACCTTCATTTTAGTTGAAAGCTTCTCCATTTTCCAGCTCAAACTCATTTCAGGGGCATGGTAGGATGCATGGTGGAAAAAAAACCAACAAAGACAGAACATGGAGGAAAATTTACATTTAAGGAGCTAAAGATGTGGAGCAAGCAAAGGAGGCTTTGCTTCCCTTGTTTGGTATGTCTAATGCTGCAGAGAGCTTCAGAGGATGAAAACTGAAAAGCCACTAAATCTGACAAGCAAAGGTCATTGGGATCCTTTGAAGAAGTAGTTTTAGCTGAGCGTTAGAGGCAGAAACCAGACTTTGGTGAGTTGAGGCCAGAATGGGAAGTGAAGAAATGGAAGCAGAGTATAGACTTACCCTTTTCACTGATTTCATTCATAGACGTGGGAGACTTAACACGGGATTTTAAAAAAAATCTCTGCTTTTTCTGAAAGACCCAATAAAATGAGAGTAAAAGAATTTAAAAAAAAAAAAAAAAGACATAAGGCCAAAGAGAATGGAGATACTACAGACTCTAGATGTTATCAAAATGCTGGAAACTGAAAAGGAGATGGGCTATTGATAAGAGATTTATCAGTCCAGAGGGAACTGAAACCCAAGCATAATGAAGGAAGGCATAAGGATAAAGCAACTCAGCCCTACAGAGAACTTAGGAATTGAGGCATCTAGTACCTCTGAAGAACATGGAGTGGCTAAAAAACCAGGAAGCTGATTAAAGGAAATGGTTTTATGAACATGTTACTGAGGAATCTAATATAAATAGCAAAAGAAACGGCAAAGAATTGAAAGTGGTTGTCACTGGACAGTGAGAACCAGGGGTGAAGAGGGGTGCGATAGGGGTATTTTAAATTATAAGCAAAGATAATTGATGATCTTATTTGACTGATCAGTATCTATGCTCAACCTATTGTTAAACATTCACAATATCATCATGGTTTTAAGCCTTATGGTATTATTTGCCTTTGTAAACTATATACATGGATCGATTTGAGAAAAAAATAATTAAATGAAAAAGAATGTTATGCTTTCAGTAAAGATTAGGTGGTAGGCTTCAAAGGAGAAAAATAGATGGTATAGGAACATAGAATAAAGAGTTTTTTTTGTTAGAAGAGATTTCATCATGATTATAGGCAGAAGTCAATAATCTAACAGAATGGGAAAGAATGAAGCTTTAAGAGAGAGGGAGGTGACAATGGAGCAACGTTTAAAAAATACCGGGAAAAATCCCCTGTCAACTTATAATTCTATACCCAGAAAAAACTATTTAAAAATTAAGACAAAATAACCTTTTTGAACATACAAAAGCTGAAAGAATTAATCCCAGCATGTCTGCACTAAAATAAACGTTATGAAAAGTTCTTCAAGCAGAAGGAAAATTATCCTAGATGGAAATCTCTTTCTACATAAAGGAATGAAGAATACTAGGAATCTCTGAAATATTTGACTGGGGGGAATGGGTGGAATGATGGGTAGGAGGTAGCCTTTATCTCTGCTTTGTACCTTTTATTGTGATATCTTTGTCTGACTTTGGTACCAGAGTGACACTATTGGGCTCATAGAATGAGTTAGGAAGTATTTCCTCCTTTTTATGTATTTATTTATTTTTGGTTACTGATTTAATCTCTTATGTGTCTGTTCAGATTTCCTATTTCTTCTTAAGTCAGTTTTGGTAATTTGTGTGTTTCTAGGAATTTGTCCATTCATCTAGTTTCTCTAATTTGTTGGCATATAATTGTTCACAATATTCTCTTATCATTCTTTTGATTTCTGTAAGGTCAGTAGTAATGTCTCCACTTTCTGACTTTATTTATTTGCATCTTTTTTTTTCTTTGTCTAGCTAAGTTTGCCAATTTGGTTGATCTTTACAAAGAACCAAATTTGGGCTTAATTTACTCCATTATCTTACTATTCTTTATTTTTTTCTATCTCCAACCTAATCTTAATCATTTCCTTTCTTCTCCTAACTTCCAATTTAGGTTGCTCTTCTTTTTCTAGTTGATTGGTGTTGATTCTTTTTTAAATGTTTGGTAGTTGTTTAAAATGTAAACATAGTTGTTGAAAGTTCAAACATAGGTTATTCATTTGAGATCTTTGTTCTTTTTTATTATAGGTACTTACTGCTATGAATTTCCTTTTGAACACTGCTTTTGCCACATCCTATATGTTTTAGTATGTTGTGTTTTGTTTTCATTCATCTCTAATTATTTTCTAATTTTCCTTGTGATTTTTTTGACCATTGGTTGTTTAAGAGTACATTGTTTAATTTGCACATTTGTAAACTTTCCAGTTTTCTTTCTGTTACTGATTTCTAGCTTTATTCCATTGTATTTAGAGAAGCTACTTCATATCATTTCAATTTTTTAAAAATTTATTGAAACATGTTTTTTGGCCTACCATATGGTATAGCTTGGAGAATGCTCCATGTAAACTTGATAAAAGTGCATATTCTGCTGTTGTTGGGTGGAATGCTCTATAGATATCTAGTTGTTAGGTCAGTTTGGCTTATAGTGTTGCTAAAGTCCTCTATTTTCTTATTCATCTTTTGTCTAGATTTTCTGTCATTATGGAAAGTGGGGTGTTGAAGTCTCCAACTATTATTGTAGAATCTTCTCTTCTTCCCTTTAGTTATGTCGATGTTTATTCCATATATTTTAGGCTCTATTTTTGGTGGGTATGTTTATAATTATTATATTTTTTTATTGATTCTTTTATCATATCTAATGTCCTTCTTTGTCCCTTATGACAAGAGACAATTAACGTCAATTTTATCTGATATTAGTGTGGACACTCCAGCTCTCTTTTGGTTATTATTTACATGGACTACTGTCTTTCAATCTTTCATTTTCAAATTATTTGTATCTTTTGATCTAAAGTGGGTCTCTTGTAGACAGGATATAGTTGGATCATGAGTGTAAAAAAAAATCAATTCTGCTGATCTTTGCCCATTTGTTGGAGAATTTAATCCACTTATATTTAAATTAATTGCTGATCAGAAAGGCCTTACTTCTGCATTTTGCTATTTGTTTTCTGTATGCCTTGTACCTTTTTGGTCTTTATTTCCTCCATACTGCCTTCCTTCGTGATCACAAAAGTTGGCAATTATCAATAAAGATCTAAAATGTCTTAAACATTTCTAACCTGAATAGACAACTTTTCAACCTGGCTATAATCTGTCATTTTAGTTTTAACTCCCTGAATTGCTCACAGAGTCTCCACTCTGATCGAATGAATTTATTCATCTGAAAGAGCCTGGTGCTTTGCTATCTTTCTGCCATAGTACTTGCTGCTTCTCCAGACTGGAAAGGCTGGAAATCACTTTCTCTTTTTATCCATTGATCAAATCTAACCCAGAATTATTGGTCTAGCTAAACTCCCATTTGGTCTATAAACTCTTCTTGACTTCTTTGCAGGAAGGAATTTTTCCTCTCATTAAAGTCCCTTGGCACATGATATTTGCACTATTTTTGGCAATTAAATATATACTGTCTTGTAAAAGTTCTCTTGAGTTTTCAAATATTCTTTAAAACTTGCTTATTATTTCTTCATCGGCATATTTATATCATCTTGCTACAACTGTAGCAAAAGACTACTGATGGAAGAGGTCAGTCTTGCCATTTGCTCAGCACTATCCTTTGCACATAGAAAGAACTTGGTAAATGTTTATTGATTAAATGTGATTACTCTAAGTTACTGATCTGTATCACTAAAATGCTCATTAGTTTAATTTATATGCACAGATAAGAGCATACAAAAAAAAAGTAATTTCTTAAAGCTCTTTCATCAAGATAGAAACAAAATATCTTTGTTACTGACTATACACTGCCATTGTTGGTAACCGAACTATTGTAATCTTTAAATCAAATTAGTATCTCAAGATTTTTTATATATTTTTATAACATTTAAAATATTTGCTTAAAATAGTTTGCAAAAGTATTGAACTACTTACCTTGCAAAAACTTAAGTAGAAGCACAAAAGCAACAGAATAACATGAGCAAGCTTCATGTTGGAGAACTTCAGGGTCTGCGTCTCTACTGTGGATACTTCTCCACCCCAGATATTCTTTTCAAATTTAATTTTTAACCTCTGAAAAAATATTTAAAAAGAGCAAGCCTCCTAAAGAGCTTTGTACTTTTGAACTTGTAGAGAATTTGGCTACAGTCCAAAGAGTTTACCGTAACTGAAACCAAAAAAGGCCTTCCCAGGAAATAGCTGAGAGAGGCAACCAATGAAAACTGTGCTCCTTCCAGAGGAAACTGATTTTCTCAGCCTGTTACTGTAATGCCTCCATCTGTCTTCTAGGGAAGACAGAAACTACACTGGAAGAAAATTTCTTTACATTTTTGGTAAAAATAAATGTATAACATTTCCCCTAAGGTTGAAGACTAGTTAATGGCAAGAGGTAAAAGTACATCACGTTGAAGGCTATGCTGACTACATTGAAATTCTTCAACGAAACAGTTCCTTTACCATGCATTGACTATGCTGTGATTAAATTATATTCTCTGGATGCAAAAACTTTTAAAAATAAATATCACTGCCCTAGCACCAACTAATTTGTATTTGTAAAATAAATTGTGACAGCACAAATGTTGTCACAATTTGGGTTCTCCTGAAGCAGATGTGAGACAGATTTTGGGGTGCAAGATACTTATTAGGAATCAACTCCTGTGAAAGGAAGAGAAGAGAAGCAGGAGTGAGAAGAAAGAGAAGTTAGATGACAATGCAGGTTCACCAAAGCCTTGGCCAGCTCGTGGGGAGCTCTGGAGTGAGTGTGGCCTGTCACAGTGTTCCCGGGTGAGGCAGAAATGACTGGACCATTAAGCCCTGCCTTGCTCAGTCACCTGGTGTGGGTTGCCCAGGAAAGACATGCTCTTAGGTGAGGCATTTTTATGTAGCTGAGGCTGACCATGAAGGAACTGATAGCTTCTATCAGAAGGAAATGCCCGCTGACTATGACTTCACAGCTAGATAGCAAAACCTTCCTTGAAGGGGTGATCTGGGGAACTCTGCCATCTTGTTTTCCAGAGTCCACTATTTGCACCTTTTAGATCTACTTTCCATATGTGCTCCAAGAGTGGATCCTTCAGAATTGCCATGGATCTCTCTTCCTGCAGGAAAATATAGAAGAAGGAGGGGATGGGAAAAACTATGGCCCCTGCCCTTGTCATTGATCTTGGGACTGTAATTGTTACTTATTTTCTGCCTTCTTCCTATCCATTCCAGATTCACTTCACCCTGATCTTCCAACTCTGCCGGCCTCAGTGGCTTATCTGATAGCATGTCCCACAACCTCTTCCGGGAGCAGTCTGAGTCCCTAGTTACCATTTCTTTCTAGTTGCTATTTCTATCCCTTTACTGTCACAAGAGGTGCTAAGTTATACAATATTTTTATATTGTATAACAATATTGCTTTTATACAATATTGTTTCATACATATTGTATAACAACAGCCTACTTCCTCTGAATGATCAGGGTCAGATACCCCTGTCAAGATCAGGTGACCACTCTTCTTCCCTACTGGTCCCTTGACACCAGGAGCCCAATGTGCTATAGGCAGAAGGCTTAGCTTATAATTGAGTGTGAGTCTTGCTGTGCCCCTTGGAAAAATGTGCTTCCTATGGAGAATAAGACCTCTAATCCTGCAGAGTCCACAGTTGTGAGGTAGGAAGCAAAAAGCTGCCAGTTGGTCACTGGGAGTGATGGGAGTGATTGTAAGTCTAGTCATTCCTGTATCTTTCCTCTCCTGGGGATACAATGCTACATGAAGGTCTTTGATTCAATGCATGTAGAGCTTCCTGGAGATTAGCACCCAGTCTTCATAGAGTACTGCCTTTAAGTAGCACCTTTGCTCTGCCTTCAGCAGGCTGCTTCAATGCTCCATAAGCCTGCCAGATTCTGAGTGCTGCAGTTTGGTCACAGGCCCACTCTCACATCTCTTTTGTTGTAAAGTGGGTCTTCCTGTCTGACAGGACGTCACAGGGGATCCCCTGTTGGAAGATTACTCTGTAATCTTTCGGATCATGATCCTAGCTGAGGGCCTGTAGACAGGAAAGGCACATCCTAACCTGGGACATATGTATATTCCTGTAAATATGTATCACTAGCTCTTCTAAGATTGAAAGGACAGACTGTGTCAGTTTACCATCAGGTGGTTAGTTGGTATCTTTGATGAATTGTGCCATCTTTGGGGCTCCCCATGGGTCTCTGCTGCTGTCAGATTGAACATTTGTTGATGGCAGTAGCTAAATAAACCTTAGGGGTCCATACTATTGGCCTCTTGGGTAGCCTCCATTTCTGCTACTGTGGCTACTTTATTCTTGTGCCTATTGTGCTAGCACTGAGATGGCTGATGACTGAGACTGGCTGATATCAATGGCTGAGTCATTTCAGTGGTTAGTATCTTTTCTCTGGTGAGTGTTAACATGTGATACAAGGATTTTTACACTTCATCCCCACTCCTATATGTACATCCACATCTTTCTACCCCAGACCTTCTTGTTCCTAATTGTTGAATATTTTTCATTCTAGGAAAAAAGATGGTTAGGCAATCACTATTGCCTGTGCTTTCATGTGTAGTTAACCTTGAGTCACTATTTTTCCACACTAAGTGGATGGCCATGTGAACTACTGAAGCTCTTCCCACTCGGAGACCTTTCCCTCACCACTGTCTTTCAAAAACCCTCCTAAGTGTGGCTGTAATGAGCTGCTGCCTATTTTTGGCTTGCGCCAACATACTGAGCCTTCAGCTGGTCATGCCAGATTCCCCATAGAGCCATGGGTGTGAGCTGAGAGAGGGGCATGGGCACAGCAGTTTGGATTTGGGGTATGTAGGGCAAAATCTGGGCTACCAGCTCATGCACTTTGCATGTGCCCTTTGGTCCTGTTTGTTTCTGGATGTAACACTTCCACCTTACAATACATTATTTTTCTTATTTATTTATTTACTTATTTAATTTTTATTACGGTGACATTAATTAACAAAATCCGATAAGTTTCAAGTGTACAAGTCAACAGTAAGTCACATATACTTTGTATTGTATGTTCACCACCTATAGTTAGAGTTCTTTCTGTCACCACATATTTCACCCCTTTTACCCCCTTCACTCAAGAAGACATACAAATGGCCAAAAAACAATACATTTTTACTAGGCCTGCTCAACTTTATGCTTGATGGGCCTGTGTTAGAACCCAGCTCATAATAGGCATTTCTGGCCACACGGTGACATAGCGTCCCATGTTCAGTTATTCCACATTTACCAGGGTCCAGTAGTGCACAAGTCATTTCTCAAAAAGAGTACAGTTCTCTGCTGCAGATGGCATGGCCTTGCTCCAGGACCCCAGGGTCCCGTATTGTAATTCTCTCACTGGATCTTCCTCAAACACTATGCAATGCTTTTTATCCCACCGCTGACACCTCCAGTACCATGGGATCTGTTGGATCACTGCAGAATCCTTTCCTGCTCTGGCAGCCAGAGCAGTATTTCTCAGTGTGAAATATTTCCCCCAAAAGCAAATATTCCCAAAGAATCTCACTAGGTTTTGTGTGTCTTTCTTTATGAACAGAAGTGCAAGATGAAATAACTTGTCTTTTACTTTAGAGAATATGTCCTGGCAGGTTCCTGAGCACTGACTTCCTAAAAATTTTACCGATGTGCCAGGCCTTATCTTCTGCTCTATGGAGTGTGTTTCTTATCAAGGCCTTCAGCGTGCTAGGCCTTGGAGAAAGGGCTGCAGCAGGAAATGTATAAGTTAAATAGGTCAGAAAGCAAGAAAACTATCAGAGCCAGTAAGTGGTATTAAAAAACATAGGCCCCAACTTGAAGGGGCTCTCACAAACCAAAGATGAAACAATTTAAGCATTGAAAAGAACAATAATAATAAAGGATTGAAATAAAAATATTTAGAAAATGATGGAAAGCTCTTTATTTCACCTAATAATTGCTGAATAAATGATAAAATTAGCACGTCACTATTTTGCAGGCCTTTATGAACCAATGAATCTAGGTGATAATCTATAGCTGCTAAAACACTAGCAGATGAAAAGATGGCAGAGAAGTTTCTAATAGATGGATCAGGCTGTTACGCTGATTTCACTGATCAATCTTAACATTGCCAAAAGAGAGACAACGAGATGTCATGTGCCTCCTCATGCAATGCTATGGGAAGTATTTTGGAAAAAAAAAAAAGAAATCGAACTTGACCATAATCAGTTCTCCAGATCTCACTACCATTTAACTACTAGTTCATAGAAAATACAGAGGAAAGACAAACATGATTTATACCACCAAGAGGATGGGAAATTCTACAAGATAAAAGACTCAGTTTCTTCAATAAGTAAATGCCATAAAAAAAAAAAAAAACCAAGGAGAGAAAACCAATAAAAGAATAAAAGACACTTAAGAGACATATCAATCAGATCCAATACATAGTTTGGATCTTCACTTGATTAGACCAGCTATTAAGATATTTTGAAACAATTTGGGAGAGTTCTACATGGACTGTTACTAGCTGATACTAAGGAATTATTACCTTTGTTAGATGTGATAATGGCATTGTGCTTATGTTTAAAAAGTCCACTGCTGGGGATTTATGGATGAAATGTTATCTAGATTTACTACAAAAAGCTCTAGCAAAAAAAATAATAATCATAAAATAAGGGGATAGATGAAGCAAGATCTGCGAAAAGCTAATTGAAGCTGGATTATGGGTACATAGGGGTTCATTATACTGCTCTCCTAACTTTTGATTGTTTCAAATTTTAATAAAAAATTTTAGAAAATAAAGTCATGAGTTAATATTAATGTTTCCAATTTAATGGCAACTTGACTAAGTCCTTTTGAAATTTTGTTCCAGTATAAAGTTTTTCAGCCCTTTCTCTTCTCTGTCATTTACAATATCCCACCAGATATTTTAATTAGATTTCCTAACCTTTCACTAACACAATTAGATGTATACTTTCTTAGATCTTGGATCCCTTAATTAAAATATACTTATACACTTTTGTGCTCCCCCCACCTCTTTTATAATCTCTTTGTCGATCATTCTGTAGTAATTTGTTGACATGCAGAATCTTAATGGATGGGAAGAAATTCAAAGTATAGAGGAGTTCAGTTCAGTTCAATGAATAATTACTGGGCATCAGTTTTATTTTTTTTTT